ACTCTTTGTCTTTATTTCAGTGGGAAAACAATGTTTTCTAATCACATGTTCCATAGATGGTGACATCATTCTGTAATGCATGGATTACCTCCATTCTTGGAGTCATAATTATACATGTCCCCGTCTGCCGGAGATTAGTGAGAGTAATACAACTGAATGGTACCTGCCACGATTTCAACTTTTGGGAGCTGAAATAGCTAGCAGGGTCTAGAGAATCTCTGCTAAATGGTGAGTAAACTATTTATTAGTGATGCAGGACCTGGTGCCCTTGGGCTTCAGTGTCGCTTTAACTCTTGGCTGAAAAGGTAGATCCTCAAATATTGTAAAACTACAGCTTTCATGATTCTTTGTCATTTTAAAGGCATTTTAAGGGCATGCAAAGAAGCATGGAAGTCGTAGTTCTGCAACATCTGGGCATCTTCCTTTTGGGCACCCCTGTTCTAGAATGTATCCTGGACTCCTACGTTTCACTATGTAGCTCAGCTATGATGGTGAGTTTAAAGGCGGGTTTTGAAGACATATCTCCAGGACTGAAGTAGTGCCTGGCATTCTTATGTCCAGGCTGTCTGTTATTTATATTTTGCCTCCACCTAAGTGAACAAGACAGTCATATGCTCCCTACCAGCGGTTCTGTTCTCCCAAGATGGGAGAAGAAAGTCCACTTGTAAAATTTATACCAAGTCATAGCATACACCATACACCTTCACAGCAATGAGATAATACCTGCAATTAAGGGGACACTACCTCCCAGCAATGAGATGCTGCCTTTCAGGTAATATATACTACCACCCAGCAATTAGATAACCACATCAAGAATTGACATACTCCCTTCCAGCATTTAGATCTTCTCACACAGCCAATAAGATACTGCTTACAAATAATTACATATGGGACAAACATCTCTTCCCATGTGAGTTTACTATGAACTCCTGGAGAAGCCTGCTTGTCAGCCTCCTGCCCACAGACTATGAGCCCTGTAATATGCACTGTAAAAGTCTCCATTCGTGTATTTGGACTATATGGTTCAGGAACCAAACAGCCGCACGAACTAGAGAAAACCCGGGAGCTTGCTAAGCCTAATTGCTACTTTGCAATTTCCACCGCAGTGTTCTACGTGATCGTCTGGGTGGCCGCATTTCCTATGGATGACCACGAGGTGGCGGCCATCTTGTTCGCATGAACACAGGTAGCGGTGTTTGGTTGTCGAGTTCATGGAACTGAAAACGGACACAGAAACTCCAGAACACCGCTGGACTTCCAGCATCGCCTGCATTCGGTTCTACAACACTTAGGAGGACACTGTTCAGTGGAAACATTCCCACGAACAAGGGGAACAAGCTCCAGGGTAAGACTCTTGACTATGTTCGGTAGTTTGCTCAGTTTTAAACTACCAAACTATGATAATCCCCATGCACAGGGTTTTCAATTACACACTCCAGGGGCATTCCCCACTGGACATGAGAGTAGACTGAGACAAAGTACACAACATAATTACATTAACTCTCTGGTCCAGGACATGTACAATATTAATCACCACAAAACATACATTTCCCCACAAGGTACCCCCTTCAGTCCTACATCCCCGGATAGCCTGGATCTGAGCACCCAACATATCCAAAAAGCGCTCAGATTCCATGAACGCAGCTGAAACGCCACCGAGGTATAGTTTAGACTGACCACACATGAGGCTCCTGCCCAAAACAGTTCCATAAGATCAGGCCTAGCAGTCGGTCTCTTACGGAAGTATAAACTGCATGAAAAACCAATACAAATCTGTTTGTGCGTACATTCGTTAGGTGTATCTTGTTCGGGAGTTTGCTCCCCCCGAACGCCACTCATTTTGCCTTAATCCCCACAAATACAACAGAAGGTGGAAGTCTCAGGGGTGTTCGCACCGCCGAGTGTCTGACTTTAGTGTCATACACTCGACGACCAAACACCGCTGTCTCTGTTCATATCTAAAGATGGCCATCGCCATGTGTTCGCACATACAAACGGCGGCCGCCCAGCCAACTGCTTGGAACGTTCATGTAATTGCAGTTTGTGGAGGTGTGAACAGGGGTTATTGGGGTTAACAAGCAGCACACTCCACATATGGGTGGCCTGCTGTTCGGTACTTTGTTCGGTTGTCGAACAAGACAGTGGTAGTAGGCCAGGAGAATGGTATTTACCGAACACCAGGCAAACAGGGGTAAAACCACGATAATTCAATAACAGGATTAAACAGAGCAAACTTTACAGGAAGTGTTTAGTAAGGCTGTGAAAGTCACATGCAGGGAGGTCTGACTAGGGTTGTATAGAAAAAGGGATTTAACTCCTAAATGGCAGAGAATTAAGCAGTGAGACTTCAGATCCATAAGCTAAATACCAAAATTAAGATAACGGTTTGGTGCCTATAATGTCCCTTTACATTTGGGATGGAGAAAATGGGTTTGTTTAGGTTTCAGGAAGAGTAACATTTAATATTAGGGAAAAGATGTGTTTAGGACATGTGGAGTTTGAATGGTTATTTGCAAAGTACTCACTATGAGTGATAGCAGAGCTGACGTAGACGATATACCGTGTGCATTACTCAGTGTTGTCCCTGTACCTCCTACAAAGCATTTTCTGTGTGAGAGGCTATTTGAAATCAAATGAGAAATTTCCCCTTCCACTTCCTGTCCAGCCTCAAACACAGACACTGGAGAAATTGGAACATCACTCATCTTTACAGTCTCTATAACTGTTCCTCCAACTATGCTATCAAGCATAGGAGGCTGCCAAGTATCAAGCCTCTTGATACTTAAAACTCCCTACCAGCCAATGTAAGAACATTATAAATGCTGAAAACAGACACCCCCTACAGAACATGTGTCTCTAGGCAGGTGCCTATGCTGCCAACTGTGAAATCTGGCCTTACTTTCATTCAACAATATGATATTCCTATACAGCAAATATATATTAATTTCCAGCAGTTAGATACTCCCACCTAGGAACAAAATACGCCTACCAAGCAATTAGATGCTCCATGCAATGAGATACTCCATCCCAGCAATTAGATATTCCTTTCTAACAATTAGAATCTTCAGGCTAGGCATTAGATACACACTCCCAAAATACATGTCCCACCTTCCACTTACCATTACTATCACCAATACTTTCCATTGTGTAGGACCCATTGTGCCACAAACCACATAGATGACTAGACTCACCATGTCTTCCAATTATTCCCATGATTTTTTACTTGGTTCTTAATCTTAACTAGAGATCTCTCCATCTGATCTTGATGTTGATGCTGTTCTACTGTGCATCAGTATTCAGACAAGACATTGACACAGTCAATCAGCTCTCTCAAGATGCTATTTCTTGTTTGTTTTTTATTCCAACTGAGTTAGTCCTGACCAGTGTGCCAAATAATTCATCATTTTGGACAACAACATCCATCTGCACATCAAGTTCAGCTGGACTAAATTTCTGCTTCCATTTAGAGATTAATTTTTGGTTAAATTTGTGGCCCCACAAGGGCAAGTAAGTCAAATAGCAGGTAAGTGCCCCACCAGTTTTTATGTAGGAGAAAAAAATATTTGCTGCAGTTTAGAAACACTAAGATTCTAAAGCAAAAAATATGGGATACATGTTGTGTCTCTTTAATTCTGTAATAGGTTTCAGTTCTGCAGGGCCCCTACTCCTTCGAGAAGCTTACTTGAGAGCAATTAAGTGTCAGGAAGTAAAACACAGGTAAAATTAAACTCTATATGGAATATACATGTAAGTGTATAATATTATCTTTTTCTAACCCCCAATAGACTTAGTGACTGCCCGAGGGCTGATTAAGCAAGGAAATGTACTCAAATATATATTTTATATATAAATATATAAAGCCAGGGAAGCCCAGAGGTGGCAAGGGGAGGTGGACATTTCTGACACAGAGCACTGTGCTGCCTGTCACTAATAGTTTTAATTAAAAATTAAATAAGGTAGGCACACTCAATGTGAAATATATGCAAGCTCCCAAATGGAGCTCTTTGAAAATACGATATGGGGTGCTTACTCACATAAGGCTTTATCCCCAAAAGCCTAAATACATGTAAATAACAATAGAGTAAGGAGCAAAACCATCAATAATAATAAAACAATCTTTATTAAGTGGGTATACTCTATAAGAATATCACATGGTGTGCCTAACTTATTTAATTCTTAATTATCTTTGGTTATTCCTATAGGTGTTTGGCACTTTGAGCATGTCGTTTGCTGAGATCGGCTCTTTATGTGAGAAGAGGGCAGAAGTCAAAGTATATTCACAGGCAGAGGTTGATGCTTTATTGGCTCGGTTTTCTAACAGTACTGTTTTATATAAAAGAGAGTAATAGTACTGTTTTATATAAAAGATTTGAATACCTTCAGAGCAAGGAAATTAACTACCAATTGCATGTTGAGACCCTAGTAGAATACTTGAGAGTTAAACGGATCCCTAGGGGCATGAGATTGGGCATTAGGCCCTCCTTTTGTCAGCATAAACCAAGGTTTGAGGAAAATTGGCAAAAGATTTTGAATAAATGTAGCCTGGATCTAATTACACTCACCATTGAGGGAATTGAAGAAGATTTGATTGAATTGAAGCAAGAAATTAGTACTAACAAAAACAGAATATTGAGTACTGACAATCATGAATCCTTTATTAAACATTCAGAGGAGATTGACAGTATTTTGTCCAAACATAAGACAGACACCCTCAATAGAAAACTATCTAAATTCAAACGTGATACCATAGATTATCTTGACAACAAAGTCTATAATTGGCAATTTCAGCGCCAGAGATTCAACGCACCCCAGGGTGAACGTTCTTTCTCTAGGCATTCTCCTGCCAACAGTGACAGTGAGCAATCCTCTACTGGATCAGCCAACACTAGTAATTTTTTAGAACAGTGATGCCCCAGAGGAGGAGGCACTAGACCAGGAGAGGCAAGAGACAACGCAGTAAACCATCCCCCTCGGAGATATCCACAGAGGGAGAGGAGACCATGGAGACGTTATTAGTGAATATTTCCAGTAGGGTGTTATCAGTAAGTGAGATCTCGGTGCTTAACAAGGGTCTGGGTTTTGTTCCTTTATTTGACGGTGACAAATTGGACTTGGATATTGAATTGTATGAATTTTTTCAGGAGGGTGTTATCAGTAAGTGAGATCTCGGTGCTAAACAAGGGTCTGGGTTTTGTTCCTTTATTTGACGGTGACAAATTGGACTTGGATATTGAATTGTATGAATTTTTTCTTTGCAGGAGACAATTTACCCACGGATGTACAAATCCAAGAGCCTGAGCTTGAGGTTAATTGCGTGGATTTATCCAAATGTAAAAATAAAAGTAAGTTCAGTCCCCCCACCACCAATTCCACAGTTGAAACTTTTACTAAGTTATGACAACTGGAGATCTCCAAGACTAATTGGTCTAGGAGGGGTTCCTCCAATTTGACAGGAGATGAGTGGAGGGCCGTCGGTGCCTTGAGAAGTGATGACTCCATCATTATCCGGGCTGCGGACAAGGGTGAGGCCATTGTCGTCATGGACATTGACAAATATAATGCTGAAGCCATGGCACAGCTGTCTAATCGGGTTCACTACGAGAAACTATCAAGGGACCCAACGAAAGAGTTTCAGGACAGTATCGGGGTTATCACCCTTGAGGCCCTGAATCAGGGTTTAATCAACAAAAAGATCTTTGAGTTTCTTAATACCTTTTCTGTACCTGCTTCCCAAAATCCACAAGGATCTTTTGAATCCCCCTGGCAGGCCCATTGTGTCAGATTGTGGTTCTTTGCTTACATTGATGCTTATCTTCAAGTGCTGGTGGTACAGATGAGGTCTTATATACGGGATACCAGTGATTTTTGGGGAAAATTGGATAACTTGGGTTCTTCCTGCAGAGATTCTCTCCTGTGTACGATTGACGTGTGCAGTTTGTACACGTCCATCCCCGACAGTGGAGGTATGGAAGCTACTGCACAGGCTTTGAGCAGACTTGAGCTGGATTCTAATTTGAGTGATTTTGTTTTACAGCTGTTGGAATTGGTGGTATCATGCAATTACTTTACCCTTGGGAATTACTTTTTTCTGCAGATACAGGGGCAAGCATGGCTCCTTCTTACGCCAATTTGTACATGGCTAAGTTTGAGGAAGAATTTGTCTATTCACATCCCTTATTCAAATCTGTGGCGGTTTGATTTCGTTATACTGACGATGCGTTCTTTCTTTGGAATGGTTCAGAGGCTAATCTTCTATCTTTTAAAGCGGATTTGGATCTATATGTACCAAGCATCAAGTTTACTTTGGAACACGATGCCAGTAGCATTCATTTTTTGGATGTTCAGGTAAATAAAATTGATGATGGATTGTGCTTTGACCTTTTTCGAAAACCAACTGACAAAGTTGCATTTCTGCAGGCTAACTCCTTTCACCCAGCCAGTATGATTCGAAGCCTTCCTTTTAGCCAATTGTTACATGTACGACGGATTGTATCCCAGGAAGCTAACTTCGATACTCAGGCTCAAGATTTTCGTTCCCGAGGTTATAACGATACCTCCTTACAGGAAACTTTGGCCAAAGCAAAAAATCGGGAGAGGACATCATTACTGAGGACTAAGGGTAAGAACAAGAGAAACAAGTCCAATCGTATTCCATGTGTCACTACATATTCGAGCAAATCCGGTTTGGTCAAACACGTCATCAATAAGAACTGGCATGTTCTCCAGAGTGACCCAGAGATTGCTGATTTCTTTAAGGAGAGACCACTCATGGCATATAAGAGATCGCCCTCCAGAGCCAGAATATCCTCTAAACCGTCCACTACGTGGTTGACACCTATTAAGGGTATGCACCGATGTGGCCATTGTGCCAACTGCAATAATGTGATCACGGGTTCAGAGTTTACACATCCCAGAACAGGGAAAGCATTTGCCATCAAGGAGTTGTTAATCACAAACAGACACAGGTAATTTATTTCATCAAATGTCCTTGTGGTCTGGGATACATCGGCCAAACGTCTAGATCTCTAACTGTACGTATCGGCGAACATAAAAGTACCATTCGCACTAAGAAACGGCATATTTCTTTTGCCAAACTGCTCACGCCTCCGGTCTATATTTTCATTCCTCTTTGCATCAGTTTAAGCTTGTAGATCAAATCTCTGCACCAGGTATTTTGTGACATTTACTTGTGATTGTTTCTTTTTTATGTTTTTATTTTCTCAAACTGCCATACCACTTGGGACAGTTGATCTTTATATTAATTCTGATGTAATATTCTTGTTTATATTATATGTTTCTACTAATATGTCCACTGCATGTATACTTAATATCTTGCCTGCATGTGTCATGTTGATTTTGTATCTTTATATCAAGTATTTTTGTTTATGTATTTTACTTGTGAATCTGCATTTTGATATGTATATACGTATATAGTTCAGGGCTTTCTGGTTCCCTTGACAACCATGAACAGGTGTATCATGGTTGGGAGGATCCCAGTCATCATGGGTGGCCACCCATTTTTTTTCAGGTGTTTTCTATGTTTGTGTTTTAATTTGGGTATATAAAAACAGGATTTAGTTTCTCTCAACATGCTCCCTTGATAAAGGCATTTTTGCCGAAACGTTGGGGGTGTTTTAGTGACTGTCTCTGTCCCTGCTTCTCACTAGGTCTGGTATGCTTATTGCTATATATGTTTGTATATTTATAAATGCGTTTGTGGGGTTGGATTAGACTGGTATTTTATTTCTCTATTTTTGTATATTGAGACTCTGTTATTCATATAAGACGCTTTTGGCTTTTATACATATATATTCAGAATTTTTGCTGTATAGCGTGACATGATCCTATATTTTGGATGTTTATGTTATGTGATATTCTTATAAAGTATACCCACTTAATACATTTTTTTTTTTATTGATGGTTGTGCTCCTTACTCTATTGTTATTTACTAATAGTTTTAATAACTCCTACTACACATACCCACCGTGTTCTTTAACACCTTAAGGATACATGACGTGTGACATGTCATGATTCCCTTTTATTCCAAAGTTTGGTCCTTAAGGGGTTAAAGTGCTCAGTCACTCTACAGCTGAGACATGAGACACTCATGCTGTGGCTAGTGAAAAGGTAGTGAAGCTTCAAACTGCAAGACTGGGGCTGTGACTGAGAGGACTGCCCTGATTCTGTTTTAATCTGACATGATTGCTGAATCGTGTCAGCTGTGTCTTGGCTCCATATTGACCTTGTAGATTAATTATATTGCCAACTGCAAAGGTAGTATGTCTGTCAGAATCCTGCTGCTTTAACATTGTGCACATTGTGTGCTGAGAGGTAATAGTGAGTCAGGAGTAGCTGACATGATTGGAGTCTATCAGTATCTTACTTCTTTAACCATGTGCACACTCTGTGCTGAGATCTAATGGAGTAGCTGGATGTTTTATAACAGCAGCAATATTTAATAGAAAACGAAGGTTATAGCAGGATCACTACTGAATGAGATCATGACAGGGAGAGTTAAGAGAGAGATAGGAAGAAAGTAAAAGCGCAAAATCATTTTACAGAGACATGTACTGTGTGGGTATCTCTGTATTGCAGCTCTGTGTAATCCATCACAGTAATACTGGCTGTGTGGGATAGTTATGTAAACTCCTTATTTTGCCCAACTCTGTTTGTTATCTCTCTGTTATCTCTGTAGTCTATTCAGTATTTTACTCCGCTCTAACTGTGATATGGATATCTCTGTAGTCTATTCAGCTCTATGTATTGTATAGGAATATTTGTACTGTACCATCTATGTGTATTAGATCCCTATTTTTTTGTCAGCTCTGTTTGTGGTATGGTTATCTCTGTATTGTACTCAGCTCTACGTATTTTAGAGAGCTTAGTACATTATTTGGTATAAATATGTAGTGTCCAGCTTGTTTTATCTCTGTACTATGCTCAGCTCTCTGTACTGTTAGAGTATATCTGCACTGTATAGGGAGGAGTACAGTTCTGGGGGAGGAGTCTGGCACCCCACCATCTTAAAACTTCACCAGCCACCACTGGCGCATAGTGACAGATATACAGGTGATACTCGAAAAATTTGAATATCATGCAAAAGTTCATTTATTTCAGATATGCAGCGTAAAAGGGGAAACTAATATATGAGATAGACACATTACATGCAGGGCCGCCACCAGAAATTTTGGGGTCCCTGACAAAGCACAAGGTCTGGGTCAGTGTTGTGGATGCAGTGTGTGTGTGTCAGTGTTGTAGATGCAGTGTGTGTGTTAGTGCAATGAATGCAGTGTGTGTGTCAGTGTTGTGGATGCAGTGTGTTAGTGTTGTGGATGCAGTGTGTGTGTGTGCAGTGTGTGTGTTAGTGTAGTGGATTGTCAGGGTATTTATATCGGCAGACATCTTGTGCTATGATAGAAATTAAAAGTGTATATGCTGAGTCACTCTGAACAGAACAGACTCCATTTTGTTATTTTCAAGCTAACAAAAGACACAAGATTTCTATCTGTAAAACTAACCACTTTCCCAGAGCTAAAGGAATGCATAGTATATACAAACCAAGTGATAAGGAGAACGGGGTTGGACAGACTGTCTAAATGCTAATGGAATATAATCAATTCTAAACCCAGACATTTGTGACAGAGAAGATTAAATAATTTAATTTTACTTTTTATATTGTATAACCTCCCATTGTAGTTTAAGGTGAAACTTAGTTTACAAACTGTCATATCAGAAATTATAGCAGGAATTGCGGACACTAAGTCTGGACAAAACTAAGAGAAAACCCTTTGAAGTGAAAGAAAACGTAAGTTATGGCAACCATAAAGATAAAGCAAAATGACATCAAAATCGTCATCAGGAAAAGTTAACTCTTTCCTGGATAGGAAGTCTTCGTTAGACGAGACTGCCATCTATGGATCAAATACCTAAATCGCGATCCCTAGATTGGACACACCTATGGCTTCCTATTGGGTTATCAACTAATGACGTACAGAGAGTCTGGCCCTTTAAAAGTTAAGACAAAGAGAGGAGAGGGAAAGAGGAATTGGAAGTTTGGGGACTCCAACTCGGACATGCAGAGAAACCCAGGACAACATCTGAGACTAAGACTCAACTCACAAACTCTTTGACACTTTCTAACCAACACTACTTTTCACTATTACCCACGCACCTCCATGCAGAGAGACATCCAAATAAGTTCCTGAGACTACCAATTTGATGAAAATATCTACTCAACTGGTAATTATACTGGTTTCATTTAATTAATTTAAATTAATTAAAATTTACTAATAGCATGATATATGACTGGATAAATCACGGTCAGATTTCCATATTAAGAAATCTTAGTTAACTAAAGAATATATAGTTATAAACATTCCATTCTGCAGGTGGAATTAAGAATAATTATATATTAATGTGATAGTATCACATGTTAGCATACCACTGTTTTTATCCAGGTGTATTGATTTGCTCTAATATAAGATAAGATATCTTTTTAGACAAATTAAATTCGGCTTTTGTAAAAATCTGGTGGATTATTCTTATTGGATGGTTCCAGGAAATGACTAATGAACTGGTTTAAATGTTATTTTATTTAAAATTACATAAGAATAGATCTTAATTACCTAGGAGATCTAGCCAGCATTGAAAGAGTTATTCAGTTGATGTAACTGTTAGCCAGGGTTTTATGGCCCTTCGCTGTGAAAAGCTTCGCTTTCTATGTCTGTAAGGATACCTCATAAGTCTTGACAAAAAATGCTGTTTAGCCATGGAAACGTGTATACCCATTCCATTGTATTGCATATCATTTTATACTGGATATTCATTGATTATAGTCACGCATGTTACATAATATTATTTGTTAATTATTGGTCATAATAAATAAATCTATTTTTATAACAAATTGTGATTTTATCTATATGAAATACATTTCACTTAACACGATAACGATCTTTGGGATCTGAGAATTGAATTAGTGGGCAATTCTCACTGTTTACTATTATTATCCCATAAATATCCCCACAGGATGCAGTGTGTGTGTGTCAGTGTAATGAATGCAGTGTGTGTTAGTGTAGTGGATGCAGTGTGTGTGTTAGTGTAGTGGATGCAGTGTGTGTGTGTGTTTAGTAGTGTATGCATATAAATGTAATAACTGTTATTCCCCCTCAAGATGACATGATCCCTGGTGGTCAGGGGGCATTGTGGGGCCCCCGGCTCCCTATACTTGCAGAGGGGGCCCAGTGGACTGCAGCTGTACTTTACAGCATTTCCCTCGCTCTCACTCCCGCGATATGTGGTGTGCGCGCCGCGCGGAGCGTTGCAGTGGTAAGCCATGGCAACGCTCTAACTGCCACACATCTCACCGGAGTTAGAGCGAGGGAAATGCTGTAAACTAAAGCTGCAGTCCGCGGGGCCCCCTCTGCAAGTATAGGGAGCCGGTGAGGGGGGGCCCACGGCTGCACCTTTATATAGCGATCATCGCTATATATAGATGCAGAGAGTAATTGTGGGGCCCTGGACTGCCAAAGCAGTCCGGGCCCCACAGGACCGCCAGGCCCGTGACACCCGTTATGGTTGTCACCCCCTGATGGCGGCCCTAATTACATGCAAAGCAAGATAGTTCAAGCCGTGATTAGTCATAAGTGCGATGATAATGGCTTACAGCTTATGAAAACCTCAAATCCAAAATCTTAGTAAATTAGAATATTGTGAAAAGGTGCAATATTCTAGGCTTACAGTGTCCCACTCTAATCAGCTAAGTAAGCCATAACACCTGCAAAGGGTTTCTGAGCCTTTAAATGGTCTCTTAGTCTGGTTCAGTAGGAATCACAATCATGGGGAAGACTGCTGACCTGACAGTTGTGCAGAAAACCATCATTGACACCCTCCATAAGGAGGGAAAGCCTCAAAAGGTAATTGCGAAGGAAGTTGGATGTTCCCAAAGTGCTGTATCAAAACACATTAATAGA